GTGTGTGTGTGTGTAAAAGAAAAGCGTGTGTGTGTGTGTAAAAGCTTCTGTGTGTAAAAGCTTCTGTGTGTGTGTAAAGCATCTGCAAACTAGTGACATGTCTGCAAACGTTTGCACAAAAAAAGGTCCAATACCATAATGCAGTAAATGACACGCGTTATCTCATTTTATTCTGGGAATATCCCACAGAAACTATCAAAAAAGGTCGGTACCATGATGCCGTGTATGACACATGTCATTTCATTTTAGTATGGAAAATCCCACATAAATGGCCCAAAAAAGCTCGGTACCATGATGCTGTGTATGACACATGTTATTTCATTTTATTTTGGAAAATCCCACATAAATGGCCCAAAAAAGATCGGTACCATGATGCTGTAAATCACACATGTGACATTACTTCACTAGTGAAATGTCTGCAAACGTTTGCAACAGAGCTCGATGCCATCATGTGCTTGATATCAAACACAGAAAAGTTTGAGTTCAGGACCATAAAATGTCATTGAGCGACACCCGTCAAAAAAAAAAAACATTATCGTTGTATGGTCACAACCTTGGTGAAAAAGAAAAGCGTGTGTGTGTGTGTGTAAAAGCGTCTGTGGGTAAAAGTGTCTGTGTGTAAAAGCGTTTGTGTGTAAAAGCTTCTGTGTGTAAAAGTGTCGTTGGGTAACACGAGTCTGCATGCTTCTGTCACCATAATGCTTCGTGTCCGTAATCTACAAGCGACTGCCTCGCTTAAAGCGTTCTCGTTGCTGATAAAAGCGTCTGTGTGTAAAAGTCTCTGTGTAAAAGCTTCTGTGTGTAAAAGCGTCTGTGTGTAAAAGTGTCTGTGTGTAAAAACTTCTGTGTGTAAAAGCGTCTGTGTGTAAAGGAGTCTGTGTGTAAAAGCTTCTGTGTGAAAGTGTTTGTGTGTAAAAGCGTCTGTGTGTAAAAGTCTGTGTAAGTGTCTGTGTGTAAAAGCCTCTGTGTGTGAAAGTGTGTGTGTGTGTACAAGAAAAGCGTGTGTGTGTGTGTATGTGTGTGTGTGTGATGTAAAAGCTTCTGTGTGTAAAAGTCTCTGTGTAAGCGTCTGTTTGTAAAAGCGTCTGTGTGTAAAAGGGTCTGTGTGTAAAAGGGTCTGTGTGTAAAAGCGTTTCTGTGTAAAAGTGTCTGTGTGTAAAAGCTTCTGTGTGTAAAAGCATCTGCGTGTAAACGCGCCTGTGTGTAAAAGCGTCTGCGTGTAAAAGTGTCTGTGTGTAAAAGCGTCTGTGTGTAAAAGTCTCTGTGGGTAAACGCGTCTGTGAAAGTGTTTGTGTGTAAAAGCGTCTGCGTGTAAAAGCGCCTGTGTGTAAAAGCGTCTGCGTGTAAAAGTGTCTGTGTGTAAAAGCGTCTTTGTGTAAAAGTCTCTGTGTGTAAACGCGTCTGTGAAAGTGTTTGTGTGTAAAAGCGTCTGTGTGTAATTTCACAACTTTCCCCTCCATAGCTCACATAAAATTCACCAACCATTCACCGACTATTTTTTACGACTACCATACTCAGAGCTGCTTGAAGGACGTGTTTTTCGCTCTCGGGCCAACCGTCGTCTAGTTTTTACCTCCTTGCGGAGTGGTCTTTCGACATCTTCAAAGATGCTGACAGAAGCAAGTGTCCATTTCGTGTTGAATGGTCATTTTCTTTAACATATTTTTGAACTGATATTTCATTCAACACGAAGGCATAATGCTGTCCATCAAGTGCTCATCCAAGTTATGACATTTCCATCTGAACCCTTGTCCTCAAATCAAAGAAGCACAACAATTTGTTGAAGATAAAGCATATGTTATTTTGTAAGTTCTATGATATTTTCCGAGGGTTCTTGCTGGATATCCTGTGCTCAATTGTTGTCTTTTTCTGACGAAGAATCCTCAATGCTCTCATCTTCGGTATTGTGGTCATTGACCTGCTCGTCTTCTGTGCTCTCTTCGTCTTCACTATTTCGTCCGCCGATTGGCATTGCCATCGCCGTTGCCGTAGATGACGATGCTGGTGCCGCTGCCGCTTCTGACGGTGTCAGCTGAATTGACACCGTGCTTCCATCTCCAACGCCGTATGTGTAGAGAAAGGAGCTGGTGTTGGGAGGACTGTTCTTCTTCGGATGTGATGGAAAAGGCAGACCATTCAACTGGATAAAGTCCAAGTGCTGGTTGCGTCGCAATCCGAACGCATTGACACACAATTGACGCAGTGTGCCGAACCTTCCATTTCGTGAAATGGTGATGCTCTTGGTCTTGTCCCCGAAAACGACAGTAATTGTAATCATACTGTCATCAAAGCGCTTGTGCTTGGTCTTGGTATCCTTGGCATCCTTGGCATCCTTGGCATCCTTGGCATCCTTGGCATCACCTTCTTCAGGAAACATTGTCTTGTAGCGCTTCAAAACCTCTGCCATAAACTCATCGTGTGCATTCTTCATGAATTCTTTTTCCGCATCTGTGAGCTTCTCAAACATCTCCATCATCTTTGGAATATCCATATCTGCCTCCCACGGGTTAAACAATTTGTTCAGCATATTCTCGGTATAGTTCCCACTCAATGGCACCACCTCTTCAATGGGCAGTTCAATCACTACATCTGCTGGTGTAGTCTCTGTCTGCTCAAACTCTGCCACCACTTCTAAGGTCGCAGTTTCGGTCTCACTGCCATCCTCAATGATGGTCTCGGTCTGCGTCTGCTTGGGTGGCATCACGGACAAAAGCGTAAGTTATGGAATTAAGCCAACAAAAAAGATGATATGAAACCAAGGTCTCATTCTTTGAACCGAGAGAACGACAGAACATTGAAGCAATGATTTTGTTTCAATGAATCAATCAATCTATCAAACAAACATTCAACAAAATCAGCAACTCTGTTCAACCAGCACTCCCCACCTGTTCCCACGAACGAAATGAACGAATAAACACGCAAGGCGCACCAGCTGATGAACTCCACGAAGAAGCAAGCAGGGCGGTGGTGATTGTGGTGGTGGTGGTGATTGGTGGTGGTGATGGTGGTGAATGTGTGTTTGACCTGACCCTAAAATATTTATGAATCAATCAACCACTCAAAACGACAAGAGCAAAAATGAAACAGAGACCGTGTGAAAGTTTTTGATAAATTACCCCCAGAAACAACCTCAGAAAAAACATCAAAGGTAAGGATAATAGATTTAACATAATCAATAAAACAGAT